ACTTTTTCCTCCCTGCACTGTGAATGTTTCCATGTTATGTGCAATTAAACCATGGCAACATCTAATGTTTGTGTAGTATTATGTTTAGCAGACTGTGTTCTTCTATTGTTGTGACTTAGATGACGTTCAGAGCACATTTTATGCCCAATTCATGCAAAACTCCACGTAATGCCAAGGGGTTCACATACTTTTTCTTGCAACTGTATATATATATATATATATATATATATATACTATATATATATGTGTGTGATTTTGAATTTCTTGGTAGGCCGTGGTCGCTGCTGCTGGCCGCTGTGATTACCCGGCAGCACCCGGTGATTACTGACGATCACCGACGGGGAGGAGGGATGCTTTGTTTACTAACAGTCCTCCTCCCTGTTGGCTTGGGCACACTGCTCTGGGTGGCTGTGCAGAGACATCCACAGCAGAGTGTTTACAGTGAAGTACCCCCCCCGCCCCCTAATAAAACACTCCCAGCACACAGTTAACCCTTTGATCGCCCCTCATGTTAACCCCTTCCTGCCCGGTGCCATTAGTACAGTGTCAGTGCTTATTTTTAGCACTGATCACTGTATTGGTGTCACTGGGGATGTCAGTGACACCAAGTCAGTTCCCCCCAGTGTCAAAATACCTGCAGCAGTCCCACAGTCCCGCTATGCTGATCACCACCATTATAAGTTAAAAAAAAATTCCAGTATCTATACCGACATTTGTAAATGCTATAACTTTCATGGAAACCAATTAATTTACATGAATTGGGATTTTTTTTTGCAAAGATATGTAGCAGAATACATTTTGGTCAAAATTTCTGACGAAATTTGATTTTTAAAATTTTTTTAACTGGACATGTTTAACCGCTTTCGCGCTGCTCTATAGTAGAAATACTGCTACAGGGCGGCACGGGTGCGCAAAATCACGTATATATACGTGATTCGCACTCCTGAGGTTTTTGCGCCCCTTCAGATAGCATCAGATTGCCTGTCACTACACCACTAATCACATTATACCGCTTGATTGCCAGGAACACGCTCACATTCACAATAAACCTCCATTGCTAGTATAGTGTCTGAACGGATCAATATCTTTGATCAGATCAGCACTATACCAGCGTTCACATTAGTATAGTGTGCCCAAAAATGCAGCATTAGCGGGATTAGCCCCGGGCACCTGCCAGCACGTGTGTTTAGCCCCTACACTCCCCCCCTTCTCCCCCAGCAAGTGCAGTGCCAGTAGGTCACTGTCACTTGATACATTTCACACAAAACCGCAGTGTTCGCAGAATCAGGGATGATCTCTGTTAGCAGTTGCTGGTAAATTCTTTTTTAGCGGTTCAAGCAGTCCCTGACAGCCAGGTGCTCTTTTTCCCATGAGTCGCACTAGGTACATATAAATTTAGTGGCCAAAATGTCAATGGAAAGGAACTCTAGTGAAGAGGCCTACAGGATTCTGAGCATGTCATATGAGAGTGAAGGGAAAGTTTCCCTGACACAATCAGCCTCAGAATACGAACCTGTAGACAGAAGTGGCACCCTGACAGATAGCTCAGATGATGGAGAAGAGGTCCCTGCTAAGATCAGGCATACCTGACCCCATTCCCAGGTTGCTGTGATGTTACAATTGCATGATGACTCTGTTATACAGCAGAGTGCCAGTACTAGTGCCACTCTACCTTTTGGTGAACTGGCGAGCACCAGCGGCCTAGTACATCCTGGTCTTTCACATACCAGCACTGCAGTATCATTTGGTGACGTGGCGTGTTCCATAAGTGCAGTACAAGTTGGAGAGGTGGCGATCACAAGTAGTGTCCCGCAGCCACCAAGAATTCACACATAGGCCCGTAGATCACCTAGTATCTTTCCAGATGTGCTTGTAAATCCCGATTGGTAGTCTACAGATTCTGCAGCACCCGTACTTCTCCCACTCACTGCCCAACCTAGAATTCAGGTGGAAATAGCAAATTTAAATACTCACCTTGATTTTTTGGAGCTGTTTTTCACAGATCTGTGTGCATTGATTGTGTATCAAAGCAATTTATATGCACAACAGTTTATCGCAGCCAACCCAAATTCAAACCTTACCAGACCATTTTCATGGAAACCCATTACAGTTTTTGAATTTACAACCTTGCCCTTAACATGGGCATTACTAAAAAAAATAAATTGCAGTTATATTGGTCCACAGACCAATGCATCTGTCAGGAATGGACTGGCCAGCAATAGTGGGACTCACCTGCCTTATGAGCTGCAGTACCAGGGCTGGCCAGCGGGTGCTCCCAGCAATCAGAGATTCAACTTTGCAGCCAATCAAACACCTGGAACTAATTATACTGGTGTATTCAAGGGATGGCCAGACCTGCAGACTCTGCCTTGGTGTGTGTTTTTCCTGGGCCCTGTATCTTGTAAACCTGCGTTCCTGTTCCTGTTCCTGTTCCTGTTCCTGTCTTGTTGCTGACCCTGCTTGATTCTGACCTCTGCTTACTTCTCCTGTTCTGATCCCTGGCTTGTGACCCTGACCATCCCTCTGCCTGACCCTCTGTACCACGCTGCCCGCTACCTGCTGAACCTGGCCTGTGACCCCGACCATTCTCCGCTTGCTCCCCCTGTACCTACCTGCCCGATTGATATTGACCCGGCCTGCCTGACGACGCTTGCATTGTATGTACTGTTATCTGTGGGTGGTTGGTTTGGTTTGTTTGCACTGTGTTATGTTTTAGTATTGCACTGCGTTTATGTTTGTATTGTTAGTGTTAATAAATTATATTGTTTATAACATATCTGAAGTCTGCGTTTCCCTGCGTCAGTCACATACCTCTGGTCACACCCGGGAGCCCTGACATTACACCAAGGCCAATCCTGACCAGAAGTGGCTGCACAGGGAAGCCATCTTGGCTTGTTGATGGGAAAGATGGATCTGGATGAGGTTGTGTATTTATATCTGCTAGTGTTTGATGACAGAGAATATGCTTATCAAACTCTGAAGGAGTATCCCCGGGATGAACTGCTAGAATGTATACGGCTCACTCATGTTCTAGTAGATCAGGGCACAGAATTCTCTGAGGTGCAGCCATTGATTCAGGTTTGTGCGGAGTTGGTTTCATCTGGTACCCCCGAATGCAGGGATGAATTTTTGCCGCCATTTAGTGCTGACCAGGTAGAGTCCCTGGTATGGTTATTAGAGGATGATGTGGATTGCTTCTTGGAGCATTATGCTGCATGTTCACCACAGACACTAAGAGATTGTATAAACGCAGTGCAGTCTTTGGTCAGACAGGCTTTGTGTAAGCTCAGCTTTGTTCAACCCATACTGCAGACATGGACAGATTTGTTGCACCCAGCCTCAGTCAGCTTACAAAAACCCAGTCCTGCTTCTAATCTATTTCCTCAAAACTCTATTCCTGCATTCCCAACAGCTCCTCCTGCCCTGCTATCTACCGCATGTCAGTACCCTGTTCCCACTCACTGCACCTATCCTGCCTTTAACCCTGTAAAAAAGCCCTCTGTAGCAACTGCTCCCTCCTCTGTTCCATCCTCCAGCTCTTCTCTGTCTCCAGCTGCTCCATTCGTTTGCAGACCTGCGTTTACTTGCAGTGCTCCAGTAGTTAAAACCAGAAAAAAGCGAAAATTCTTTCCAACCAGTACCATCCTGCCAGTATCCAAACCGGTGAGCCTGCCGTCTGAGAACCTGCCTTCCGTGGTTCAGCCTGATGCCTCTCTTCAGCCTGATGCCTCTACTACTCAGCCTGAAGCCTCTACTCAGCCTGAAGCCTCTACTCAGCCTGAAGCCTCTACTCAGCCTGAAGCCTCTACTCAGCCGGATGCCTCTACCCAGCATAATGAACTGATCCAGCCTGATGATCCTATTAGGCCAGTTGACTCGATGCCCGCTGTTGATCCAGATGATCCAGTACCTGATCCGGTGCCCGCTGTCGTGCCAATTGACTCAGAGCCCGCTGTCGTACCTGGTGACTCGGTGCCCACTGCCTTGCCAGACGACTCGGTGCCCGCTGTTCCGCCAGTTGACTCGGTGCCCGCTGTTCTGCCAGACGACTCGGTGCCCGCTGTTGAGCCAGACGACCGGTGCCCCAGACTCGGTGCCCGCAGTCTTGCCAGACGACTCGAAGCCCGCTGTTCTTGCCAGTTGACTCGTGCCCGCTGTTCCGCCAGTTGACTCGGTGCCCGTAGTCTTGCCAGACGACTCGGTGCCCGCAGTCTTGCCAGACGACTCGGTGCCCGCAGTCTTGCCAGACGACTCGGTGCCGCTGTTCCGCCAGTTGACTCGGTGTCCGCAGTCTTGCCAGACGACTCGGTGCCCGCAGTCTTGCCAGGCGACTCGGTGCCCGCAGTCTTGCCAGACGACTCGGTGCCCGCAGTCTTGCCAGACGACTCGAAGCCCGCTGTTCCGCCAGTTGACTCGATGCCCGCTGTTCCACCAGTTGACTCGGTGCCCGCAGTCTTGCCAGGCGACTCGGTGCCCGCAGTCTTGCCAGTTGACTCGGAGCCCACTGTCGTGCCTGGTGACTCGGTGCCCGCCGCTCCGCCTGGGGGCCCGAGACCTGTCGCTCCGCCTGGGAGTCCGGCGCCCCCGCCGCTCCGCCTGGGGGTCCGGTGCCCGCCGCTCCGCCTGGGGGCCTGAGACCTGTCGCTCCGCCTGGGGGCCTGAGACCTGTTGCTCCGCCTGGGGGCCTGAGACCTGTCGCTCCGCCTGGGGGCCTGAGACCTGTCGCTCCGCCTGGGGGCCTGAGACCTGTCGCTCCGCTGGGGGGGGTCTGGCGCCCGCCGCTCCGCCTGGGGGCCCGAGACCTGTCGCTCCGCCTGGGGGTCCGGCGCCCGCAGCTCCGCCTGGGGGCCCGAGACCTGTCGCTCCGCCTGGGATCCGGCGCCCGCCGCTCCGCCTGGGGGCCCGAGACCTGTCGCTCCGCCTGGGGGTCCGGCGCCCGCCGCTCCGCCTGGGGGCCCGAGACCTGTCGCTCCGCCTGGGGGCCCGATGCCTGTCGCCCTGCCTGGGGGCCCGATGCCTGTCGCCCCGCCTGGGGGCCCGATGCCTGTCGCCCCTCCTGGGGGCCCGATGCCTGTTCGCCCCGCCTGGGGGCCCGATGCCTGTCGCCCCTCCTGGGGGCCCGATGCCGCCCGCCCTCCCTGGGGGCCCGATGCCTGTCGCCCCGCCTGGGGGCCCGGTGCCTGTCGCCCCGCCGGGGGGCCCGATGCCTGTCGCCCCGCCTGGTGGCCCGCTGCCTGCTGCTCCGCCTGGTGGCCCAGTGCCTGCTGCTCCGCCTGGTGGCCCGGTGCCTGCTGCTCCGCCTGGGGGCCCGCTGCCTGCTGCTCGCCTGGGGGCCCGCCTGGTAATCCGATGTGCCTCTGCCCGGAGTCCAGCCCGATGTGCCTCTGCCCGGAGTCCAGCCCGATGTGCCTCTGCCCGGAGTCCAGCCCGATGTGCCTCTGCCCGGAGTCCAGCCCGATGTGCCTCTGCCCGGAGTCCAGCCCGATGTGCCTCTGCCCGGAGTGCCTCTGCCCGGAGTGCCGCTGCCCGGAGTGCCTCTGCCCGGAGTCCAGCCCGATGTGCCTCTGCCCGGAGTCCAGCCCGATGTGCCTCTGCCCGGAGTCCAGCCCGATGTGCCTCTGCCCGGAGTCCAGCCCGATGTGCCTCTGCCCGGAGTCCAGCCCGATGTGCCTCTGCCCGGAGTCCAGCCCGATGTGCCTCTGCACGGAGTCCAGCCCGATGTGCCTCTGCCCGGAGTCCAGCCCGATGTGCCTCTGCCCGGAGTCCAGCCCGATGTGCCTCTGCCCGGTGTGCCTCTGCCCGGTGTGCCTCTGCCCGGTGTGCCCCTGCCCGGTGTGCCGCTGCCCGGAGTCCTGCCCGTGTGCCGCTGCCCGGAGTCCTGCCCGGTGTGCCAGTCTTTGATATCCCGCCAGTTACCAGACCCGGGCGGTGGAACATTTTGCCCAGCTAGGACTGTTTGGAGCGTCCTGAGGCCGCTCCTTGAGGGGGGGGGGTACTGTCAGGAATGGACTGGCCAGCAATAGTGGGACTCACCTGCCTTATGAACTGCAGTACCAGGGCTGGCCAGCGGGTGCTCCCAGCAATCAGAGACTCAACTTTGCAGCCAATCAAACACCTGGAACTAATTATACTGGTGTATTTAAGGGATGGCCAGACCTGCAGACTCTGCCTTGGTGTGTGTTTTTCCTCGGCCCTGTATCTTGTAAACCTGCGTTCCTGTTCCTGTTCCTGTCTTGTTGCTGACCCTGCTTGATTCTGACCTCTGCTTACTTCTCCTGTTCTGATCCCTGGCTTGTGACCCTGACCATCCCTCTGCCTGACCCTCTGTACCACGCTGCCCGCTACCTGCTGAACCTGGCCTGTGACCCCGACCATTCTCCGCTTGCTCCCCCTGTACCTACCTGCCCGATTGATATTGACCCGGCCTGCCTGACGACGCTTGCATTGTATGTACTGTTATCTGTGGGTGGTTGGTTTGGTTTGTTTGCACTGTGTTATGTTTTAGTATTGCACTGCGTTTATGTTTGTATTGTTAGTGTTAATAAATTATATTGTTTATAACATATCTGAAGTCTGCGTTTCCCTGCGTCAGTCACACACCTCTGGTCACACCCGGGAGCCCTGACAGCATCATATGTCCGTGTTCTCTCCTGCCAAGGCCAGGCATAGATATGAGAGTATAATGTGTTTTATGCATTTCAATGACAATACACTCGGTCATCCTCAGGGTGACCCTGAATTTGACTGGCTCCACAAAATTCGGCCCCTCGTAAATCACCTTAACCAAAAATTTGCAGATGTCTATACTTCCCAGCAGATCATCTGTGCTGATGAGTCCCTCATTCATTTTTCCGGCCGTCTTGCATTCAAACAATTTCTCCTCAGCAAGTCTGCCAGATGGGGTCAAGATGTATAAGACCTGGGAGAGGGCAACAGGCTATACATATAAGTTTTGGATTTATGAGGGAAAAGATAGTCACGTGGAGCCCCCCGGATTCCCAGACTACATGGGGAGCAGTGGTAGGATAGTTTGGGAATTGGTGTTATCCTTTTTCCATATGGGGTACCACTTATACGTGGACAATTTTTATTCAAGCGTAACACTATTTAGATATTTGTACAATCTTGGAATTGGTGCATGTGGCACCATGCAACCTAATCGCCAGGGCTTCCCCCAACAGCTTGTAAATACCCATCTTAGAAAGGGGGAAAAAGCCTGCTTGAGAAATGAAGAGCTGCAGGCCTCATCCTGGTATCATTTTTCTTCAGCCGGAGATTGGCTTTCATGTAAAAGCAATCCTAGTGGCTAATTATCTGCAGGATTGCTTTTGCAAGCAGCGGGAGAAGGTTCCCCCTTCCCCTGCTGCCTTCCATGGCCTTCTCGGGCAGTCCCGTGCCACCGGGGGAACCTGAGAATGCAGCTAGTGTTTTTGCCAGTTGACCATAGAGCTGCTTGGAGAGCGGAATGTTGCCAATGATCTCTATAGTCTAAGAAATCAGAAGCTATGAGCATTTCATCCCTTCAGTTTCGCAGTTTTGCAGCGCCATTTGTAAATTGGGAAAGCATCTGATCACACCGATCTTGGTGAGATTAGATAATGTAAGGGCAGAAGAGATATCTAGAGTCAGACAGACCCCAGATTTCTCAGAAATCAATATATGACAATGCCCATTGAAGTTATAGGGGATTTTTGCATTCCTTGTGATAGCATTAAAAGTGATAAAAAAAAATGAAAGGGACATTGTAAAAATAATTTAAAAAAATCAAAATAACTTAAAAAAAAAGTACCCTTGCCCCTCCCGCGTGCGAGTGTTGGCCCTGTGCTAATATGTAAACAGTGATTACACCATACATGTGAGGTATCGCCGCGAACGTCAGATCAAGGGCAGTAATTCTAGCACTAGAACTCCACTGTAACTCTAAAATGTTATCTTGTAAAGGTCTTTAAAGTGTTGCCTATGGATATTAAAAATGTATGCAGTTTGTTGCCATTGCACGGGGCATGTGCAGTTTTAAAGCATGTCATGTTTGGTATCTATTTACTCAGCATACCATCATCTTTTACATTTTACCAAATAATTGGCCAATATATTGTGTTTTTGTTCAATAAAAGTAAAAAAAGTGTATTTTTTTCAAAAAATATTTGTTTGAAAAAATGCTGCGCAAGTACTATGTGACATAAAAAATTGCAGCACCCACCATTTTATTCACTAGGGTGTCTGTTTTAAAAAATATATAATGTTTGGGGGTTCAAAGTAATTTCCTAGCAAAAAATACATTTCATGTGAACAAAAATTGTCAGAAAAGGCTTGGTCTTCAGGTGTTAGGTTAGAAGAGTGAGTGATTTGTGGCATAAACTTCTAATGCTAGGCATAAAATTCCCCCACCCCCTAAAATGACCTCTCTTTTTGAAAAGTAGACACCCCAAACTATTTGCTGAGAGGCATGTTGAGTCACTAGAATAATTAGATTTTTTACCACAAGTTTTTGGAAAATGACAAAAAAAATGGAAAATGAAGAAAGAAAACGAAAACATATTTTTTCTTTTCTTTTTTTATATTTCAAAAACTTGTGAGGAAAAATGAGATCTGCAAAATACTCACCATGCCTCCCTTTAAATTTCCTTTGGGTGTCTACTTTCCAAAAAGGGGTTATTTGGGAGGGGGGGGGGGGGATGGTGCTATCCTGGCATTTCAGGGCCTCCAAAACTGTGACATATAGTGAGGAAGTGAAATGAGGAAGTTACTCACCTTCAGGCTTTCAAAGTGGTCAGGCTCCTGTATGAAACCAGTTGAAATAGTGCAGCGCCGAATAGCAAAAAAAGGCCTGGTTAGGAAGGGTGGTAAATCCCCAGGAAGGCAAGTGGTTAAAGCGGAGCTATGGAAAAAATAAACAATGACATATACAGTACTGTATAATACAGTCTGCCAATAGCTTTAACACACCTTTGTTTGTCCTTCTCATAACATAGTTTACTACCTGTTGATTAGACCAGTTAGTAAGTAAGTCTGTTTGTTTTTCAGCTTCCTTTTACAAAGCAAGCTGTCCAGCAAAAGTGCCAGTTAGAGCATTGAGGCAGACCATTTAACACAGGCAGGGGTGCACACAAAAGTCAGCTTATATTCATTTATATAAAGTCTTTATCCTAAAAGGAAATGCGGAGTGTTATCTGGATTTGGGCTTAAAATTGTTCATCACTTACAGTTGTGTCCAAAATTATTCAACCCCCACTGAAATTGAGTGTTTTGGCCAGTTTGACATTGCTTTTGATCATTCAGTCATCTTGCTTACATTTACATTAAAGAGGCACTTGTTCAGACAAATATAACATAACAGTTATAATGAAATAACCACAAATGTCTTTTCTGTGCTCACAGCATTATCAGTTTTATTCAACCCCCAAGTGACATTCAATCTTAGTACTTAGTACAGCATCCTTTTACAGTTATAACAGCTTTTAAACGTGAAGCATAGCTTGACACAAGTGTCTTGCAGCGATCTACGGGTATCTTCGCCCATTCTTCATGGGCAAAGGCCTCCAGTTCAGTCACATTCTTAGGCTTGCGCACTGCAATGCTTTCTTTAAGTCCCACCAGAGGTTTCAATCGGATTTAAGTCTGGTGACTGCGATGGCCACTCCAAAATGTTCCAGCCTTTCCTCTGCAACCATGCTCTAGTGGACTTGGAGGTATGCTTGGGATCATTGTCCTGTTGAAAGGTCCAACGTCTCCCAAGCCTCAGGTGTGTGACGGACTGCATCACGTTTCCATCCAATATCTCCTGGTACTGAAGAGAATTCATGGTACCTTGCACACGCTGAAGCTTCCCTGTACCTGCAGAAGCAAAACAGCCCCAAAGCATGATTGACCCTCCACCATGCTTCACAGTAGGCAAGGTGTTCTTTTCATCATAGGCCTTGTTCTTCCTCCTCCAAACATAGCGTTGATCCATGGGCCCAAACAGTTCTAATTTTGTTTCATCAGTCCACAGAACACTATCCCACAACTTTTGTGGTTTGTCCACATGGCTTTTGGCATACTGCAGTCGACTCTTCTTATCTTTGGAGACAGCAAGGGGGTACGCCTGGGAGTTCTGGCACGGAGGCCTTCATTACGCAGTGTGCGTCTTATTGTCTGGGCTGAAACTTCTGTACCCACATCTGAAAATCTTTTCTCAGTTCCTCAGCAGTCACACGGGGACTTCTCTCCACTCTACGCTTCAGGTAGCGCACAGCAGTCGAAAGTCAGCATCTTCTTTCTGCCACGACCAGGTAGCGTTTCAACAGTGCCCTTTGCCTTGAATTTGCGAATGATGCTTCCTAAGGTGTCTCTTGGTATGTTTTAACATCTTTGCAATCTTCTTATAGCCATTGCCCTTCCTGTGAAGAGAAATCACCTCTTCTCTTGTCTTCCTGGACCATTCTCTTGCCTTCACCATGTTTGTAACCACACCAGTAAATGTCTAGAAGGAGCTGAGTATCACAGTCATTTTAAAGCTGCCTAATTGGTGCTTATTATGCTTGATTGCTGCTCGGTGACATCCACAGGTGTTTTCAATACCTGATGGAAAGCACCTGTATGAACCTCTGTTCTTCAGAGTGGTAGTCTTTAAGGGGTTGAATAATTGTGG